TGATGATGAAGAGGAGATGATGATGATGAGAAGAAGATGATGATGATGAGATGAAGAAGAAGAAGAAGAAGAAGAAGAAGAGGAAGAAGAGGAGGATGATGATGAAGAAGAAGAGGATGATGATGATGAAGAAGAAGATGAAGAAGAGGATGATGAAGAAGAATGAGGATGAGGAGAAGGATGAAGAAGAGAAGAAGAAGAGGGATGAGATGATGATGATGAAGAAGAGGAGGATGATGGATGATGATGATGAGAAGATGATGATGAAGAAGAAGAGAAGGAGATGGATATGATGAATGAAGAAGAAGAAGAAGAGGATGATGATGAAGAAGAAGAGGATGATGATGAAGAAGAAGAATGATGATGATGAAGAAGAAGAAGAAGAGGATGATGATGATGATGAAGAAGAGAGGATGATGATGATGATGATGAAGAAGAAGAAGAGGATGATGATGAGAAGAAGAAGAGAAGATGAGGATGATGAAGATGAAGAAGAAGAGGATGATGATGATGATGATGAAGAAGAAGAGGATGATGATGAATGAAGAAGAAGATGATGATGATGAAGAAGAAGAAGAGGATGATGAAGAAGAAGAGGATGATGAAGAAGAAGAAGAAGAGAGGAGATGAAGAAGAAGAAGGATGATGAGGATGATGAAGAAGAAGAAGAAGAAGATGAAGAAGAAGATGATGATGATGAAGAAGAAGAAGAAGATGAAGAAGAAGAGGATGATGATGATGAAGAAGAGGATGATGATGAAGAAGAGGATGATGATGAGAAGAAGAAGAAGGATGATGATGAAGAAGAAGAAGAGATGATGAAAGAAGAAGAAGAAGAGGATGATGAAGAAGAAGAAGAAGAGAGATGAAGAAGGATGAATGAAGAAGAAGAAAGAAGAAGAAGAAGGAGAGGATGATGATGATGAAGAAGAAGAAGAAGAGGATGATGAAGAAGAAGAAAAAAGATGATGATGAAGAAGAAGAAGAAGAAGAGGATGAAGAAGAAAAAGAGGATGATGATGAAGAAGAAGAGGATGATGATGAAGAAGAAGAAGAAGAAGAGGATGATGATGAAGAAGAAGATGATGATGATGAAGATGAAGAAGAAGAAGAAGAAGAAGAGGATGATGATGATGAAGAAGAAGAAGAAGGATGAAAAAAAAAAGGAATTCCAGTCCGGCAAAAAGAGTCCCTGCAGAGAGCTCCGCTATTTCTTTGACAGTTCCTTGACATTTACAGCGGTTGCAACATTGTATTTGTTTCCGAATAAAAACATCTGTATCCTAAATGGATACAAATAGATACAATGTTGCAACCGCTGTAAATGTCAAGGAACTGTCAAAGAACTGTCAAAGAAATACCAGAGCTCTCTGCAGGGACACTTTTTGCCGGCTGTAGACGGGATGAAAATCGGCCGATTTTTTTTTTTTACCATTGCTGGTAACGTCGTCCGCTTGAACGACCGATTTTTCGTTTTTTAAAAGAAAAATCGGCCGTTTTTCTCCCCGTCTATGGCCTGCATAAGAATCCCTGCCTCTGAAGAGCGCTACTGTGTGTTTTTAAACTTCTGCATACATCTGCCTGCGGTGACAGTGTGTATACAGACGCTTATTCAAACATCATAGTGTTACTTCTAAAATTGGCGAGTTTCCTCCTACTCTGTACAAAAAGGTGGTGGTGGCAGTGTGAAGGGTTAATTGCGAAATTAACCTGAACCAGTAACAATCGCGGCATGCAGCTGAGCGTGGTATTGTTACGCACGTGACAGCGTTGTTTTAGATTGGCTAGTCCTTCAGTCACAAGTTGGTGAGAAAGGCTGGGGGTCTGACGCCACGTCAGTCACACCCATATATGATTAATGAAGTCACCCAGGAGACCCCTACCCCTTGGTTATAACCTTTTGGTGGATCAGTGTATTGGTGGGCATCGGGCATCATGATTGACATGGATCTGCATTGTTGGACATGCTTTACATTTTTTTGTGAATGAATAAGGGTACTGTGTGGGTTCTGTGGTACATAGTGGGAGGCCTCATCTGGGTGCCCCTATTGTTAAAGGGGACTTGAAGATTCTTAAAAGCCTCAAGGGATCTCAAATTTTGTTCTTGATTTTTGCATAGGGCTCCCCCTTAAAATCAAAACCAGACCTGAGGGGCCAAGTATGAATTAGGGAAGAACCTCCATGTCATTGCTTACATGGCTGGAGATTTCCAGCCTTGTAAGTGAATGGGGTTGGTTATATTACTGATGGTTAATGACTTAGCACTGTGTGGAACCATTGACAGCGGGATACTGTTATTGTACTTGACGTTTGGCTCAGGCCAAATAGGTAAAGTTTGAATGTTTATCTCAACACCTAAACTTATGTTTGGCCTGAACCTTCAGATCATCCCTATTAAACAGCCATCTCTGCGCTAAACAGATCAACATAATCCATGTCAATCTTCTGATCTGGACAAGTAATTAATACACTCCTTGTTACCTCATAGTTGCCAAAATATTTGAAAGGGTAATATTTGCATGAAAACTATATGCTAAGGATATAGTGTTTACATTTGAAGACTAATTATGTTCTGATACATGCTTCTCCACAACACTTTAGCATCACTTAAGCCCTATAAAAGCAAATCAAACTTTATGCAATACTGAAAAATAACTTTAGAAACAGATTTTGAAAACAATTGGCTGCTTTGGAGCAAAACATATTGATTTGATTTAAGATGTTTCTGATAAAAGAGGCCAGGCGACTATCAGAAATGTCAGAAAAAGGCTGTGAATATCATGTCACCACTGTTTCCTTTTTTATTTTTGTCCTTCACTTGTTGTCAATTGTTGTCCACCTTATGCTGTTCTTTATAAAGTATATGTAAATCACTAAAATTTTATATAGAAGCTGCAACATGTTAAAGGTATTTCAAAGGTAATTTTTTATTTCGTCAGCTGTCAATTAATTAATACTGTACCTGTTCATTCTGCCATGAGGAAGATTGATTTCCTGTTATAGGGTGACAGCTTTGTACATTAATTTTTCTCCTGCGTTGTCACCCCACCACACAAATGTTTTCATCAGAGACTACAAGTGACCATTTTTCAGTACATATAATGTTGGCATAGTTTATTGTTGTCACAGCCTGGAAACCCACATCAAAATGGTATACAGTAATTATTGTAATGCATTTACATAAACAGGAATTGGCAAAGTTGAGATGCAACAAAAGATGAAAAAGTGAATATTTTATTTAAAAAAAATGTTGGCACCACCTGTAAACTCACCCTGAGAAATGTTGAGCACCGATTGTTGTAGCGCATTTACATAACAAGGAAGTGGCGGAGCTCTCGGGGCTGTGCAATCTGAATACAGGGGTAAATAATTGGCTGTAAAATCTGACCTAAGCAGATAATAGGGGTGAGAACTGATTCTGTCCCCAGGACCATATAGTTCAGAGATGCTGGAAGTGCAATGCTGGCATCCCATATGTTCAGGAGTGATGACGGTGGAGGAAATGTTGCTGTCAGTGGAAAGCTTGATCACATGCAAGCAGTGGTGAAGCTAGACATTCTTTCACCTGGGGCAAAGATTCAGTTCGCCCCCCCAACGAAGAGAACTGTGTCAGTATGGCAGAGGTTGATGTCATTAGGGCAGTGGACAGTGTCAGTAGTTCTTTATTTTTATTTATTTATTTTTTACAATTGTATCAATTTTTTTTAAGGTGCCTTCTCTTTCTTCCCCTCTCTGGTCCAGTCTGCCCTTGTTCCCCAGTGGCAATGTGCTGAGACTGAGTATGTTCTCAGCAGGCTCCCACTCTCTTCTTTTCCTTCCTTTTTTGTCCATCAATTGACAAAACTCCCATTCCCAAAAAGCCCACGATAGGCTACTATTGGAGAGAGAGAAGAGAGCAGAATCTTCCCTTCAGCAGCTATAGGGATCTTTGCTCCTTCTGACAGGAGCGACACTGCAATCACTCCTCTCAGCAGGGATGTTGCTACATGTGTGAAAGACCTAGGACACTCATGGGCACACTGAGTGACTTAATGATGTGGTGTGCAGTGTGGTAGGTATAGTCAAGTGGGAACAGTGGGAAAGGAGTATGCCTAAATAAATCGTGAGCCTATTCTTCCCTGGTTCCAGAGTGCATAGCAAAGAGTGCAGGGGTCAGAAGTGCAAAAAACAGCACAATTAAAAAGAATAAACTGTATTTACTACCAATGCAGGAATCCCTAAAATATGACTAAAGGCAAAACTTTCTTTTTTAGTTTTAGATTAGAGGTTTTTTTTTTTGTTTGTTTTTTTAGTTTTAGAGTGGAGAGAGGTTAGAACACCTGTCAGTTTTTATTGCTGTCTGTGCCCCCAGATGCTCCCTCTCTATTTGTCCTACTTAGCCTTATCAATGAAAGTGAAAGTAAAAGAAAATCCCAACTTTTGGGTTGTCCCCAGAAAAGTAATATAGGTGAAATCTTTCAGGGACACTAGTTCTGGTGACCTGGGGTTCTGCAAGCAATTCTTTTAAGTTGCAGGGATTTCCTCTCACTTCTTGTTTGGCTATAGGACAGGAAGTGAAGGTAAATCTTTGCAATGGGGCACAAATGGCAAAAAAAACCTGACAGGGGTTATAACCCCCTTGCTCTATCCAAAATGAAAAACGTTTTGCCTATAGTTCTACTTCAATTTCACTAAAAAGGCAAGTTAAAAAAAACTATAAAGTCTGTTTTTTATTAAAAAAATCTCTAGCTGTTCTATAAAAAGCAAAAAGCAAATGATATAAAATGACAACAAAATAAAGTGATAAAGTGCTCAATATCTAAAATAATGGCCAAAATAATGGTGATTACAATGTGTTTTAACATATATATATATATATATATATATATATCCATTTGTGCAATAAAATGAAATACTTGCTCGTTCAGCACTGAGGGCTCTTTCACACATAAGGCCCGATGACCCTACTGAACACTAAAGATGCAGCTGCTCACAACTGTACATATGCCACTGCCCCAGCAGTGCCACCTGTCAGTGTCCATCAATGCCAGCTGTCAGTGCTCATCAATGCCACCTGCCAGTGCCCATCAGTGCCGCATCAATGCTACATATCAGTGCCTACCAGTGCACACTAATGCCACGTATCAGTGCCCATCTGAGCTGTCTTTCAGTGTCACCTATCAGTGCCAGTCAGTGTTACCTATCAATGCCAGTCAGTGCCACCTATCAGTGCTGCCAATCAGTGCCCGTCAGTGCCACCTATCAGTGCCTGACAGTGCTGCCTAACAGTGCCAGTCAGTGCCACCTAACAGTGCCAGTCAGTGCCACCTATCAGTGCCAGTCAGTGCTGCCTATCAGTGCCAACTATCAGTGCCGCCTATCAGTGCAATATATGAGTGCTGCCTTTCAGTGCCCATCAGTGATGCCTGTCAATTCCCATCAGTGCCACCTACCAGTGCCTCCTCATCAGTGCTTATCAGTGCCACCTATCAGTGCCTATCAGTGCCATCACTGCAGCCTCATTAGTGCACATCAGTGAAGGAGAAAAATCACTTATATACAAAATTTTATAACAAAAACTAAGAAATTTTTTTTTTTTTTAATTTCAATTGTTTTTGGTTTGTTTAGCAAAAAATAAAAAACCCTGAGGTGATTAAATACCACCAAAAGAAAGCTCTATCTTTCTCCAAAAAATTATAACAATTTCATATGGGTACAGTGTTGCATGACCACGCAATTGTCATTCAAAGTGAGACAGTGCGGAAAGCTGAAAATTGGCCTGGGCAGGAAGGGGGTATAAGTGCCCTGTAGGCAAGTGGTTAAAGGGCTTGTAAAGCCTAGACATTTTCTACCCTAATACATTCCTTGCATTGAGGTAAAAATGTTTAGGGTAAACTATCAACCCCTCACCCCCTAATACTCACTTGATCCAGCACAGTTTTTTCTTCGTCTCACCGCTCACACAAGCTTGGCTAAGAGCAGCAGGAGCCATTGGTTCCCGCTGCTGTCAGTCAAGTCAGCAGGGGCAGGGCCGAACCTCGCTGTCTAGACAGACACAGACAGTGGGGCTTGGGATTGAACAAGCAGGTGTGCTCCGATAGAAAGTGGATTCCTTTGGTGGCAAAAGGGGACCTGAGAAGAGGAAGCACGTGTCCACCTTGTGTAGTTCCATTGCACAGAGCAGGTAAAAAATAAACCTGTTAGTTATTTAAAAAAAAATTATGAATTTAGCATTCTAATTTTAGGGATTTGGAATCTCTATTTCCTTATTCAGACAATTTGCTGGATGAGGAGTTGGGGGGAAGTATAACCTTTGGTGAGAGAATGACCCTGACTGGACATAAGCTCCACAGTGGTTCTACAGCCTTGGTGTTTTTTTTTTACCTAAATGCATTCCCTGCATTAAGGTAAAAACACCCCTCTAACTATTCCCCCCCAAACACTTACCCCTCTAACTATTCCCTTTGTTTCTCTTCTCACAGGAACTTGGGCAACAGTGGGAACCATTGATTTCCGGTGTTGTCAGTCAAATCCTATGAGCGGAGAGTGTGAGCAGGGTCCAGATGCACTGTGCATGTCTATAGACACACAGAGCGTGACTCAGGAGCAAGCCCACAGGTGTGGAAATATACCTGGGGGCACATCAAGAGGAGGAGGAACCTGAAGCACCAGGGGGGACCCCATAAGAGGAGGTTCAGGGCTTCTCCGTGAAAACCATTGCTCAGAACAGGTAAGTATGACATGTTTATTAGTTTAAGAGAAAAAAATGTGAGCGTTTACATTCGCTTTAAGGTTTAAAAAACTCAGATTCATCCTTGAGTAAGGCCTCTATGTGACGATTGCAACGTCAGATCCCTGCCCTTCTCACCAAACTCGTGACCAAAGGATTAGCCCATATAAAACTGCGATGTCACGTGAGTAACAATGCCACGCCCAGCTGCACCCTTTCCAGCTAATTGGACCACAATCGATGTACCGGCAGCCTGGGAGCAATTGTTACTGGGTCAGGTTAATTACTCAAATAACCCTTCACACTGCCACCACCTCCTTTTTGTACAGAGAAAGAGGAAACTCTGCAATATCAGCAATAACACTAGGATGGTTGAAATAATCATCTGTATACCACTGTCACCGCAGACAGGTTATACAGAGGGTTAAACACACATAGTAGCGCTCTTCAGCGGCAGGAATTTGTAAGTTGCATTAAAGAGCTTTAGAAACAGTTCAACAATTTCAGAAAGAAAGATTTATTACTAAAAGGTCAAAAGGGTGCAATAAAAATATTTACAGAAAAAAGATGTAGCCAATATATAAATATACAGAGAGCAATGACACAGCAAAGAGATAACAGAAAGGAATTTAGAGGGTTAAAGTACTTGCCAGTCCGCCTTGGTTTAAGCAGCTTCAAGTGTCATAAGTCAAAAAGATTTCTTGTCTCTACTGCTAGTTTCGATGTTAAACGCAGGAGACTCTGCTTTCTCTCACACACACAACTCTAAGCATAACAGCCCTTTTTCTAGAATCTCAGCAGGGTGTCTCTTTTGAGTAGTAACCAATGGTCTCCTATTGGGGAGGGAGGTGTAGGTGGAGCCCTAAGTTATGACTAGAAGCTCTCATAGCTGCTGTTATGATCCATAACTTTTCCTAGGTACATGTAACATTCCACCCATGGGTAAATTAATATGAAGACGCATCTGCGGAATGGTTAGATATGAAATATGCACTTGAATGGGTCAAGAGATATACTTTTCTGCTTTTCTACGTATGCCAGCTAAGGGGTGTAACATACCAGGAGAATGGCCTCAAACTGAGCCTTCCAAATATAGGCTCCATGTTTAGGTAATTATGTCCTACGTGAAGATATCAACTTATATGAAAAGTGAGTTTTTAATGTAAGTCTGTTTTTACGACCCCTTGGAAGGTCTTTTGAAGTTCAGTGAGGGACTCGGTTTACACTTTTACGATATGCCAGATTGCACAGTTTTCTAGACAGCTATGCACCTAGCTCCTGAGGTTTTATAGCTTGGAGCTCTCTGCTGTGCTTTGGCTGCCTGTGACCTCTCTCATCACTCAGGCCACATGTCACCCAACAAAGAGGGAGGGGGATGAGAGATCTACAAGATGGAGGGGGCAGCCTGCTTTGGGAGTGAGAAATAGTATACATAGAAAGTTCTTAACAAAATGGAGAGCTGCGTCCCTCTCTGTGTGCACGATTGCTACACTCTATATAGAACAAAGGATACTTTCAGAATCCAGGACAATCTACACCATAGGACAAGAAGGATTTAAAAGCAGAGTTGATGCCATCATAATTGTCTTAAAGAGGTTTTCCTTTTTGGCATGGCTTTCTTGTCAAATGGGTGCATTTATTATGCACCAGGGAGAATTTTAACCACTTCCTGTCCACCCCATGTAGATAAACGGCCGGTCCACGCTCCCTGGGAGTGCGTGGCACCGCGATCAGTGCCCGCTGTGTCCTCTGAACACAGATCGCTGTAAGGGACCTCTGTGTGAGTTCCCAATTCATGTGATCACTGATTGGCCAATCAGTGATCACATGAATAGTAGTAAACAAGATGTCACTTCCTGACATCATTGCTTACTACTTGTGAAATCTGTGAATGATCACAGATGTCACATGGTACAAAGCTATTCACAACAGCCTTGTACCATGTGACACGCTGTGACCAATCACAGCTCTTACAGTATTTCTCAATGGCTGCAGGAATGCAGCCAGAGAGAAGGAGAAATGATCGCTTTTACAGCCTTTATGGGTGTAAAAGCAACCAGTGTAAAAAAAGAAAAAAAATCTTCATCACCCCCCACAAGTAGTACAGTGTCACTATGGTGACATTGTACTGCTAGGGTGACAGTATGTTAAAAAAAAAACAACATAAATAATATAAAAAAAATAATAATTTTTTTTTTTAAAAGTTTGAAAAATTATAATTTTTGGTTATAAACTAATTTGGGTTATTTTTTTTTACTAAAAAGATAGATGAATACATTTTGGCCAAGATTTATGAAGAAAGATTATTTATTTGCAAAATGTTATAAGAAAAACTCTTTTTTTTCAACATTTTTGGACTTTTTCATTTATATAGCAAAAATTAAAAATCTCAGTGGTGAATAAACACCACCAAAATAAAGTTTTATCTGTCTCAAAAAAATGCTAAACAATTCATATGGGTACTGTATTGCATGACCGCGCAATTGTCATTCAGCGTGTGATAGCACTGAAAGCTGAAAATTGGCCTGGACTGGAAGGGGGTGAAAGTGTCCGGACTTGAAGTGGTTAAAAGAAAAAAAGTTTAGAAAACTCAGATTCATCCTTGAGTAAGGCCTCTATATAGAACTAAGGATACTTTCAGAATCCAGGACAATCTACACCATAGGAAAAGAAGGATTTAAAAGCAGAGTTGATGTCATCATAATTGTCTTAAAGAGGTTTTCCTTTTTGGCTTGGCTTTCTTGTCAAATGGGTGCATTTATTATGCACCAGTTAAAATTTTAATAATATTAGGCCAAGTGCACTAAGCTAGGCAAGCCTTTTTTCCATGAAGATCATTATTTCCAGCAATAAGGGCCAATGAGAGCTGAAAATGACAGTAAAACAGCTAAAAATATCAAACAGTAGATGACACATTCATTACAGTTTAATTAATCAAGCCTACAATTAGTTGTAGTATCATCATTATTATCAAGGTCAATACTTTCCTTCTGTGGTTTAACTGATAGCTTTTCCTGAATGTAAGTGTGAGTGTGTGTGGATGTAAAATTGTAGGAGTGTGTGGTATTTAGAAAGATTCTTGATACATTCTCATAATTGCTAAAAGCTTATATTTATTATTATACAGTATTTATAAAGCGCCAATAGTTCGCTCAGTGCTGTACATTACAAAGGGGGACAGAACATGTGACAGAACAATACCAATACAATAGGGGATTGAGGGCCCTGCTCTTTCGAGCTTACAATCTAGAATCTACAATTCCTTTATCTTAGTTGATGATCCTGGTAGTCACACTGGTTATTAAATACATAGAGTTCTTCCTGGTTTCTTCTTGTTGTGGGTTTTCCCACCTCAATATAATACCATACTGTGCTGGAGTTATGCTTGGTTTCATCAGAAATTTGCCCTAGAGTGTGGATCTGTATGGCTGTGGTAAGGTTAGATTGTCAGGAATCATATAGCTTTTACCCAAGATTTAAATATTTTTCCAATTGAATTTGATTATAAAAATGTTTGAAGGCTGTGTAGTAGTGCTATGTTCACCATGTATTAATCCCAAAAGTTTGAAGTTTAAGGGGTACCCTTTTTTAGCTAACAAGTTATTAAAGATGTAAGCTTTCAGGATAATAATACAGGATTAGGTCTTCAGTCTGTATACATTTCTATAAATGTAAAAAGACCCCAAATCACTTTCAGGAGACAAAATAGACTCCCCTGCTAGCAAGTTATTTAGATGCAGGAGACAATGGCCGAAAAATTGCTCATCGCCCCCAAC